ATCTCTATCTCTCTCTCTCTCTCGGGCACCGGCGCTGGCACCGGCGCTGGCACCGGCGCTGGCAGTTGCAGCGCGGGCAGCGCAGCCGTGGCGGCACCGTCCGCCGCCGCCGCCACCCCACTCCAGCGCGTAGGGCTGCGACGCCCACCGCCACCGCCACCGCCACCGCCACCGCCACGCCCGCGCTGGGCGTCTGCGCCACCCCTCCGTCCACCCCTGCGTCCCCTCTGTGCGCCGCCGCCGCACCGGCCGACGCACTTGGGTGGGTTTGTGCCGCCACCGCCGCAAGGGGGTCCGCGCCGCCCAATCATCACGCCGGAACAGCGCCACGGGCAGCCCCGCTCCGGCTCCTTCATCACCGCCGGCGCCATGGCGGCGCAAGACAGGGCAGCCGAGGCGGCGGCGGCGGCGGCGGCGCGCGAGGCGGCGGCGGCGGCCTCCGGGGCGGGAGCAGCGCGGCCAGGCTCCGCCGCCGCCCCGACGACGGCAGCGTTGACCGAGGCGCAGCGCGCTCGCGCCGCCGCCAGTCGGGATAGGGCGCTGCAGAGGAGAAGCGGCGATGGCGGCCGGCCCGCTCACGGCCAGGTGAGCCCCTACCAACTTGCCCCGAATCTCTACGCGCTTGTCGTCGATGGGAGCTTGTCACCTTGATGAGCGCGAGGCAATTCGGTCAATGATGGAGTCGATCCAGCCGCCAGAGTGGTTGCGAGCCGGATCGATGCGGCGGGCGACAGCAGCATTGCTCTGGACCGACGGGCTATTGATTGATGTGTTAATTTAGCTATGGTGGCGCATGTTGCGTCTTATCTTGCCAAACGGCAATGAGGTGGTAGGCTCCGGCCGGTGGCCACTACTGGACTTCAAGACCGAGCGGAGATGACGGTTGGCCGAGCAAGCGAGCGGGAGCAGCTCCTCTCGCTCTAGGCACCTGCTCTTACCGTATGTCTTTAGGACAGAGACGAGCTTGTGCTGCTGCCTCGAACGGATCTGCGCGCAGGCTCTGGCTGCTTCCCTTTTTGGCACACGTTAGCCGCAATTGAATGCCAGCGTGAAGGTGGTGCCTTCGTCAACAACGTCCAGCACACGGGACGCCCTTCGCCGACGCACGCGGCGAAACGGGGCCGCAAACCGCAACGCTCCGGGAGTCGCGAGATGGATTCGTGCCGTGTGGGCAGTAAGGTCGGACTTGCGCCGCCCTAGGACCGCTTGGGACATTGTCACCGCGTACGCATCAGGGATAGGCCCCGCCCTCCTCTGCGTCGACCGTCCTTCCATCCGCGACGTGTGGGCGAAGCGACAGTGTTCCTTAGCGACTTGCTCATCCCCCAAAATGGAGAAACCTGAAAGGCGGGGTTTATTTGTTTATTTACCGCGGCACGCCCGCCCACAAGCAGCGCCTCGCGGTCATGCCAACACCTCACTGCTTGCGCCTTGCCGCTTGCCCCCCCCCCCCCCCCCGGACTGCATTCCCTTTTTATGATACATGCTTTTCTTTTTACCCCCCGGGCCGCAACGACCCGGTGTTACGAAACCGCGCGACGAGAGTCCAGACGAGAGAGAGAGAGAGAGAGATTGGTCTAAGCTAGAACAATCACGAGCCCGACTCTGATCTCTCTGTGTCGCCCAATTGGACGGGCCGGGGGACAGACCACTACGTTCAGTATATACGCCGCTACAGAGAGCACGGACCAGGTAGCAGCACAGCGGCGGTCGCCCCGCATGGAGGGGCACACGGCCGCCGCTGTGCTGCCCAGCGCGCGGGTCGGTGGAGTGGGCGGTGGCGACGCGCGGCACGCAGGAGTGCAGACTCGTGCGCGCGGGCCAGACGCCGACGGCTTCGAATGTGCACGAACCGGCGCCGCAGGCTCTGTAATCTCGGCCACTCTCGGCCAAATCTCGCTCACTGCGCGCGTCGCCGCCGCAGCAGCCTCGACGAGCGACGGGCAGAGGGCAGGAGGCGGCACCTGCGAGAAAAAACCAAAGTTACATCATTTTATCTCGACTTCGGTCGATCTCGGTCGATCTCGGACAAATCTCGGACAATCTCGGACAATCTCGGCGGATCTGGGCGGATCTGGGCGGATCTGGGCGGATCTGGGCGGAGGTCTGATCTTGGCCTGACCTCGGCTGACCTACTTCTCGCCTAGCCTTGCCGAATCTCACCGCGTATCTCGGACTTAATCTCGGCATCTCGCTCATCTCGGCTGACCCGGCCGGCACTCACACTCGTGCCCCTGTGATCTCACGCAATCTCGGCCTCACCGAACTCGGCCGACCTTCCAAACTGTCTCTGTCAACCGACCCCTAGACGAGCCTCGGCTTCCCCCCGTCCCACCTTCCAACGTGTCTCTATCGACGGATTGCAGGCTTGCCTCGCCTCGCCTCGGCGGACCTCGGCTAATCTCGCTCCACGGACGAGGCGCCTATTCATTGGTTAACTAATTAGAGGGGCTACCAATCAATTGACGATGTATTGATGAATCCATATCTCGCCCATATCTCTGAGCGGGAGCGAGGGGAGGAGAGGAGGGGAGACGGAGAGGGGGAGGGGTGGAGGAGAGGGGAGGAGAGGGGAGGGGAGAGGGGAGAGGGGAGGAGGTGAGAGAGGAGAAGGGGGGGGGGGGAGGGGGGGGAGGAGGGGAGGTGCCAGGAGGAGAGGAGAGGAGGGGAGAGGAGAGGAGAGGAGGAAAGGGGAGGGGAGGAGAGGGGAGGGGAGGATGCACGAGCGTCCCACCTCTCCGCCGACGCTGCTGCATCTCGGCCAATCTCGGCCAATCTCGGCCACTCTTGGCCACTCTCGGCCACTCGCGGCCCCGGCGCATCTGACCGGGTGCGACGAGAGGCTCTCCACCGCTCTCTCGCCCCAGCGGGCGAGCGACGAGACGCCGCCGCGCCGGCAAGTACGACCCCCATCGCCGCCATCGCCCACAACGCTGCTGCATAAGCGCCCGCGACCGGCCCTCTGTACCCGTGCGCCGCGTCCGAACGCGCCTCGCTTTCCGTGTCGGCGGCGATGTCGGCGGCGATGATGAAGCTCCCGCTCTCCGACCGCGGGAGGATGGTACGGCTCGCGAGGCGGAGCGTCATCAGGGCGGGAGCGATGTAGATGAGGAGGGAGCCACCCGTCGCGCCTCCCAGGGCCGCCAGCTGGTCGAGGGGAGGCTCGGCCAAGGCGACTGCGGTGATGGCGCCGAGAGAGAGGAAGACGTGGATCCGACCTTTGCCGCCGCTCGAGCTGCCTACGCTTGGTCGGTGCACGGGCGGTCGAGAGCGGGGCGGGGCGGCGCGCCCACTTGCCTGCCGAAGCGCGAATTGCCGAGCTGTTCCGCGAGGGTGAGGCGAAAGGGTTAGGGTTAGGGTTAGGGTTAGGGTTAGGGTTAGGGTTGCCGAGCTGTTCCGCGAGGGTGAGGCGAAAGGGTTAGGGTTAGGGTTAGGGTTAGGGTTAGGGTTAGGGTTGCCGAGCTGTTCCGCGAGGGTGAGGCGAAAGGGGCGCTCCAGCAGCGGGAACTCGAAGAGGACGGTCAGGAAGAGGCCGCACCTGAGAGGGACATGGAGGGCGGAGGAGGGTGGGAGGGGAGAGTCCGAGTTGTTGCCGCGAGTCCGGGAGGTGGGGAGGCTGTGCATTCTTGCGCTACTGCTGACACACTCGAGGGGCGGGAGGGAGCCCCGCACCGGGCGATCGCGGCAAGCGGGTCGGCAGCAGCGTAGTTGTTGATGACAAGCGCCTGCACCGCCTCGCCAAAGGTAGCGAACCCGGCGCCCCCGATGCTGATGAAGAGCGCAGCTGCAGCAGAGAAGGCGATGGCGGCGGCAGCGCGGAAAGGGGCGAGGCGCGAGCCGTGTCGGTCGGGGCGCGTCTCTGCGTACATGAGCGGCGCGTTGAAGTGTGCCAGGTACGCGCTCGATGCGAGCGAGAGGAAGAAGGCCACGCTGCTCGCGCTCGGCGCGACCTGACGAAGGTTCCTAGAAGGTTCCTAGAAGGTTCCTAGCTCGGCGCGACCTGACCGCGAGTATGCGCACGGCGGTCAACGCGCCGCGACCACCTCTCGGCGTGCACCGCACCGAGGCACCACGGCCGGGCCGGGGAGTGATCGGCGGTCCGTCCCGGCGGAGTCGCAACTCCGATGGAGTGCATGCCTCCGCCGTGTCTGTCGTGCGTCTCTCAGAGAGTGTGCCCGTTCCTCTACTCGTCTCCGCACCGCGGCTAGACCGGCGATCTCGCCCTCAGGGTCTGCCGCGCGCTGCTCGAAGGTGGGGACCCACTGCACAACCTCGAAAAACTTGCCCTCGGGCCCGTAGGACGTGTCGAGAGCACGCGCGGCCATCGTCGCTGCTGTCGTCGCTGTTCCAGCGAGGCCAAAGGTCGACGCGGCAGAGAGCGGCTTGAGGGAAGGCAAAAGGCTGATCGGCGCGGGGTGGGAGGCGAGGTGAGGACGACAGGAACCGCGGTGGGAGGAGGCTAGTCTCGGCAGCAGCATCGTGGACGCAGAGAGGGAGTGCTGAGGCGAGGATGGGCACCAGAGCGGTAAGAGGACGGCGACGACCACGAGCAGCTGGATGCGCAGCCGCGGCAGCTCCTCTGGCTGCTCGAGGAAGAAGCCGATCAAGTCTGTCAAGCAGACGCCTGCGGGGGCGTGTCATGCGTACTTCTCCGCCGGGGAGACGAACGCGGGAGCTGCTTCGTGTGGTGCGCGCGCGCCAATGATGGACTGGCAGATGACCGCATTGTTGAAGCTGATCAGCAGCGTGCTCGACGAGACCAGCCACGCAGTACGCGGCCCGAGCGTTTTCTGCCACGCCGCCGTATACGAGCAGGTCCCTGTGGGATGCGACGAAGGCTCTTGGAACGGGCCGGCGCCTCGGCTGCCGCGAGTGGATGATGGCGCAAAAGGTCAGAGAGAACGCGGGCTGTGGCACGCCTGTCCGCTCGCAAGCCTCGGCAATGAGGGTAAACGTCCACGCGTTGAGCGTCCCGAAAACCAGCAGCAGGACGACGCCGACGCCGAGCGCCTCGGAGGTCGCCATCCCGTTGTCAGACAGCCGCTCCATCCCTGTCGGCAGCGTCAGCACGGCAAAGCCAACGATCGAGTTTGCGATATTGGCGGTGAGATTGCAGACGCTCATCGAGGCTTGCGGCTTCTCATTCGAGCAGCCCGACGACGGAGACATGGCGCACGGAGGCGGACAGACACGGCGTTCGTCGGCACGGCAGCTCCTATGACTAGTTCGACAGCCAGCTCGTCAGCCATGACGCAGAAAGAATTTTGGGGCTGCGCGCAGAAAGAATTAACAAACCTCGTGTGTGCAGTCCTTGCCCGGTCTGCGAAGCAGGCCGGTGGTCGTGCCAACTTCGCTTCACAACGACCACGCCGCAATCGTCGCCGGCGCGCGACACGTTTCCGTTGGCGGGACTGTCCTGGTCGAGAGTGTGTGCCGCCGAGGCGGGACCACTCGGGGACAGTGCTGACGGGACGCGGCTCGAAAGGTGTGGCTCCGCAGCGCGGCTGGCACTCGTCGCAGAGGCCTCACCTTCGAAAAGTCGGGCATGGCTCTACCCGCAACTTTCTCGCTAACACGCGCGCACCGCCGAGCCTGCGGCGGGCGCGCTGCGGCCGCACGTCTAACTTCGCCATAGTGCCACGACGTGCGGCCTAGATTTAGCCCACGCGCCTCTGCTCGCAAACACTCACCCATTGAATTGTCACTGCCCGTGAGTGCGAGAAGGGCTAGCTGCAGGCAGCTAGCCCATGAGGAGCGCGTCCATAGACACTTCACTAGACCCCACATACGGTCTCGTCCGTGCCTCGCAGGCCGGTGAGATTGCTAGAGGTGGAGCATGCTGCTCTAGCCTCACATATCACTTCCTGTCGTCTGTTGTTTGAGTTGTGCCCTTGTTTGTGCCCTTGGCACCGTGGAGTGCTGGGGGGGGCGACAGGGAGGATGTGGTCCTGAGTTATGTGTACGCCGACTCAGGGTGTGTGGCAGCCAGCTGGCTGTGTGTCTTGTGAGCTTGTTTGTGTCTGTGTGTCGCTCGTGCGTGTCGTCATCATCTGTCTAGCGTCCACCCATACCGCGTTGGTGTCCAGTCCGAGCCTGGCTGTCTTCACCTTACTACCTACCTACCTACCTGTGTGTGTGTGTCGTCGTGGTTTCGTATCAAGAATACTCACTCACTAAACAACAGAAGTCTCTCTCGCAGCCGACAGGCTCGACACAGGTGCGAACTGGCGCGTGCTAGTACTATCACAGGCACACCACCGGAGCCGCCTAAGCGACTCCGTTAAGAACGCAGAAAGAATTCTTATTGGGCCGAAAAAGGAAGAAAACACAGCGGGCAGGTGTGAGGCGTGCAGTGTGGTGTTCATTCATTAGCTCCGAGTAGAGGGGGCGTCCTGCAGTTAAGGGGAAACCCGGTACGCGGGGCCAACCCTCGGAGACCCGTGTTTACTTTACGGCCCTTTCCCTGCGCATGCGCACCCCCCCTAGCTAGGGGTCAGGGCTCTCTAGCCCGTAGCCCGATGCCGATCATCCGGCTCGCGGGGTGCGCTTCTTAGCTCCCCGGCCCTGGATGTGAGGTTGCCGACTGCACTCCAAGTGCTCCAAGTGCGCCTCTCTCACACTGGCACGACAAAGGCACACACACACACACGCACACACACACACACACACACACACACACACACACACATGCACACATGCACACACACACATGCACACACACACATACACAGACACACAGCCCCTCCCCCTTCGAGAGAGATCGCCAGTGGAATAGGGAGTCCACCGTGCTGCGACCCTGTCGCTGTCCTTTTTGTCAGTAGCAGGAGAACTAGGAGAGCGCAACCAGTAGGAGGCCCGCGCCTGCCCCCGTGCCGCCGGGTGCAACTTTGTCCTATACGAGAGGGGAATCCCTGGGACCCTGTCGTGTGGGTGAACGCTGCCCTGCCCCCCTCCGTGTCGCGATGCGCTCCCCGCTCCCGTTCCCCTGTGTCCCTGATCGTCCTTACAAGATCCTGCTCGCGCAGGTGGGGACCCTGTCCTTCTCCCTCCCCTTGTTTGGTGTGTCCGTTTTATTTATTGGCACGACAAGGGCGCGGACTGGCGCGGACTGGCACACACACCGGCTCACCAGCGGAGCCGCCTAAGCGACTCCGTTAAGAACGGCAATGCACTCCGCACCATGCACAATGCCGCTCTCCCCGCACGCTAGCTCGTTCACCGTCTGCCACGCCACAGCGGTGTGGAGGACGACTGACAAACGCTGACACAGAAGAAGGATTGCCGCGGCCGCCGCCTGCCCCTCCCCCATCTCACGACGCCAGCCGCCTCGCCCGGCCTTCGCGCCCACCCGCTCGACCACCAGAAGAAGAATTCCGTACGGTGGGCCAGTCCGCAAGACACACACCGGCACACCATCGGAGCGAGGAAGAATTTGTGAGTGCGAGGAAGAAATGTTCCCACCGCGCACCGGCACCGCCGCACAACTCCGGCTGGGAACGACTCCCGGCGGAAACATCCCGGATTTCTCGAGACTCTCTCGGGGAATAAGGAAGAAGAAAAGGAAGACCACCGGGCATTCGAGAGCAGGGCATCAACGATTGTCACCGTCAGCGGGTCCTGAGTTTTTGCTGGGCGGAGGTTCGCTGATGAGGAAAGTCATTTCCACCGCCGCTCGAACACCTCGAAGATCCGCGTGAACACCTCGAAGATCTACCGGCGCCCGCTTGAACACCAGAGCTTGGCAACCTTGCTTTCACGACCGTGAAATCAAGTACGTATTGCAAGAACGTGGGCGGAAATGCCCCCAGCCCACACGACCTTGCTGACGACACGCCAGCGCCCCTCGCGTACGTGCGCCTCAGCTCAATCACGGACGTACTTCAGACACTACGTACGTACTGTCAAAACAGGGACGTACATACATGCAAGTACGACCTTATCCCTCAAATTTTCTCTTCGGCTCGCTCCGCTCGCTTCTGTGCGCAATAGCCGGTCCTCGCGCCGGACGTCGGCGGCTCCTGGCCCTATCCTGGCCCTAATCTACGCAGAGAACCCAGCCGGGGCGGCCGCCGTAGCCCTCGGCCCAAACGTATCCCTGGCCGTTCACCAGCGGCGCGTTCTCGGCCGCGACCTCCTCGGTCATACCTTCGGTGTCGCAGTGGTCGGTCGTGGTCCCACCGTCGGTCGTCATGCCGAGCGCGACGCGCTCCTTGTGAGCCGCGAGCCACGCTGCGATTGATGCGTCCGCGCGCTCATTCGCTTCATCCAGGCGCTTGTTGAAGTCTGCCGCCACCTTCTGCCACTGCCGCTGCCGCTGCGCCCGCAGCCGCTGCACGGTCTCGTCAGTCAGCAGCGTCTTCGACTGGCGGTCCTCGATCATGGCCGCCTGATGCCGCAAGAACCAAGCAGACCTTCGAGGGCCAGACATGGTTGGGCCAAACTGTCGCTCGAAGACACGCGGCAAATGATTGTACGGTCGTGATTTTACGTTCTTGAGAAAAAGAAGCTGCCTCGTGCAAAAAAGAATTATAGTTAAGCGCTCGGAGCACTTGTTAAGATGTACACAAACAGCGCACCCACGGCGCACCCACCCCACCCTCCCACGCCGACCACTGCTTCGTACCAACAGCCGCCCCCTTTTGGCAGACGCCAAAGGACCACATCTTGCCGGGCGCAGAACCCTTGGGCATCGTGGGTGCGATGTAGTCGTCGGTCTTGCAGCGGGAGGCGGCCCACTGCTCTGCAGTGCAGCCTTTCCACTCCGGCCGGGACTGCTTCCACGGCTGGTACGACGGCATTGCCACCTCGGGGCCGGACGCAGCCGCCTGCGGCGGCGCCGGCGCGCCCGCGGGTAGTGCCGCTGTCCGCTGGTCAGAGCCGTCTGCCGCCTCGCCCGCGCCGGCGGCCGCGGGCGCCGCTGCATCGGCGGGCGGAAAGTACGCCTGCATGGTGCAGCGCCGCTGGCGACGGCGAAGGAGGCGGAGCGTGTCTTTGCCACAGCCAATAAGAACGTGCGAGTACGGTCTTGTTTTGGGCAAAACAAGAACGTGATTGCATCACTCGCTAAGGACGTGAAAACAAGGCCTTCCCCAGGGTAAGTACGTACTTATCTCTGAAAATTTTCTTCGCGCGCTTACGCGCGCGACGAGTTCACGCCCTACGGGCGTGTGGCCTGCGGCCACTAAGGTTGCCAAGCTCTGTTGAACACCTCGAAGATCCGCGTCGATCATGGCGCTGGAGCCATCATGGACGCTCGTGGACTCGGCGGGCGTCGTCCACGTGGTCGCGGGCAGGTCCGCGCTGTCGCAGATGTTCGGCAAGAACACCAAACCGACCTACAACAACATGCTCGAGCTGGTCGGCGAGGGTTCGCGAGGCGTCGTTGGCTACCTTTGCAAGGACGGCTGGCGGATGCTGCGCGAGCTACCGTGGCTGCAGCACAAGGAGAGCAAGCGGATCGTGCCCGTCGTCGGCTCGGCCGCCCAGTTCCTTCAACGTGCAGCAGCCGATGCCGACATGGCGGGCTTCATCTTGAACGGCAAGGCTAGCCAACCCTTCACTCGACTGATCGCACGGCCCGGCGCCAGCGGCATGCGATGGACCGGCGCCGGCTGACCGACTGCACTTCGCGCCGCCGGCGGCTCTCCTGCTCGAGCACGGCGCCAACGTCAACTCGGTGCAGCACTCGACTCTGGGGCCTCTCGTGCCTCTCGTGCCCTTCCAGGTGCGTGCCCGCCGCCCGCCGCCCGCCCACGTGCGCGCACGCGCGCGCTCGTCCTGTGTCGCCTCGCCCCTCCTCGCTCCCCTCTGCCCCACGCCACGCTCCCCCCCCCTACTGTCCGGCAGGTGCCGCAGCCGGCGGGCGTTGCCGGCGTGCTCGGCGGCGCGCCCGCGCCCTTTGCCCCGCCGCCCCAGGTATCCCCCTCCCCGCCGCACCGCCCCCTTCCTCTCCTCGCGCGCACGCGCGCACGCACGACACAAGCCGCGCGCCTAGCCCGCGTGCTCGTCCGACCCACCTCCCCTCCCACCGCAGGTCGGGCAGGGCCCCGTGCTCGGCGCGGGCGTCGGTGGCCCCGCCGCGCCGCCCGCCGCGCCGTAGGTGCTCGCGCCGGCCGCCGCCCACGTGCCCCGCGTGCTCGCGCCCGCGCCGCCGCACGCGCACGTCCACGCCGCACGCCGTTGGTCATGTGACCGTTGCTGGTCACGTGACCCAAAGGTTCCCCCCCCCCCCCTTTTCCCCCCAGACCCCCCCCCCCCCCCAAAACACCCCACCCCACCCATCCCCCACCCCCACCCAGGTTGATCCCCTCCTCGATGCCGCCGTCGATTGCGTCGATGTGCTCGAGCTCGCATCCTTTGTGCAGGCCCCCCCCAGGCGCCCCTACGGCGGCGCGCAGCGCCGCTGCACCCCAAACAAAAACGCGCGCGCAGCGCGCGCTGGCGCGCAGCGCCGCCGCAGGCGGCGGACAGCAGGTGCGCAAATTTAAACGCCATTTTCGGTTTCGCACTTTTGCCAAAATCTTCAAAATCCGGTACAAATCGACTTAGGAGATTTTCCGTGCGCAGCCGGCGGGGCCCATGGCGGGGGCTGGCCCCCCGCTGCCAGGCGGCCAGCCAAAAATGTTATAAACACCAAAATTGGGTTTACATAGTAAACTGCTTGCCAGAGGCCTCAGCAACTTTGTACATCATTTTGGTCCTTTCTGTGTGGGCATGAGAATCGTTGCAGGGCATGAGACGCACGTGGCACGACACGCCACACTCTGTGTGTGTGTGTGTGTGTGTGTGTGTGTGTGTGTGTGTGTGTGTGTGTGTGTGTGTGTGTGTGTGTGTGTGTGTGTGTGTGTGTGTGTGTGTGTGTGTGTGTGTGTGTGTGTGTGTGTGTGTGTGTGTGTGACTGTGTTGTACTCGCGGGCTCGAGTTTGTTCTTCGTATACGCATATTAACCTTATGCAAAAGCAAATCTGGTCCGGAAGAGAGAGAGCGCGCCTGGACCATTTGCCTTCGTGAGACTTTGAGACGCAACCTCTTACGGCCTCAGGTCGCGGCCGGGCGGGAACTTCTCGATTGGGTCGCAGATGGTGCGGTACGTGAGCTCCACTCCTCCGTGGCTGCAGTCCCAGTCAGTCCTATTCGATAGCACCCGCGTGAGTGCTTCCACGCCGTTTCCGGGCGGGATGGTGTGATGCTTCCCGACTCGCTCCCCGGCGGCGCACCGAATGGCTCCTTGCCTGTACATCTGCTCCATCGTAATGCGGTCCTCGGGCCCCGACACCGGGTCAACCTGCATGTCAAAAGCGCCGAGCGGCCAGAATTCGGCGTAGTAGCGGCCCGTCGGTGGGCTGCTGAACGGCGTGCCTGTTTGCAACACGCATCGTTGAAGAGACGCTGTGGATAAGGGCGGCGCAAGCACGCGGCCCAAGTAGCGCCGTTCACTACGCCGTACGTGCCAGAATTTGACCTCGCGTTCATGTCTCAGATGCTGGGCGTTGGAGCCGTCCGGTCGGAGCCAGAAGACCCAGCCACTGGCGACGACGAGACGATCATGCAGGAGGCCGCCGTCGACGTTGCCCTCCAGCTTTTGACGGATGGCGAGGGGCTGCAGGCGCTGCTCGCATCTGATGAACCGAGCGCAGATAGGGTTGCGCTGGAGGGTGCCGACAACGCGCTTGCAAACTCGCGTGCGAGGGTGGATCAGCTTTACGAACTGGTCAGGGCGAGCGAGGGAGGAGCGGCGGTGCGCCGCATGGGCGAGGCGCCGAAGGCGCCCACTATGAAAACGCATTCGGCCCGTTGCTGTCGCGTTCCGTGCGTTTAGCCGCTTTCTGGAGGGGAGACCGTCGGACGCGCGGATGATGAGCGCAGAGCTTCTCGTCGACTTTGTGACATCGCGTCAGATCCGTGTTTTCTCGTCTTGCGGTACATCTCTCCGCTCGCCACCTCACGCTCCGCCGTCCGGCCATGGATGGTTCGATGGAGCTCGCCGAGCTCCATCGAACCATCCAACTCCGGTCACCGGGTCTGAACGCGCTCAGCCTCAGGAGGTACCAAACCGCGCGAATTCTGCACGCCTCGCTGCACCGCTGGCTTGACTGAATCAGGCAGCAGCAGGCTGCTGCTATTGCCACAGCAGCAGTCTGCTGCGGCCCCAATACGCAAGTTAATGACCAGCATTGCTGCCGGGGGCATTCGAGCCGCCACAGCCGGTGTGCGGCTGTGCACTGCCACCTGCCCGCGGCTACGCACATGTGCGCTCGCATTGGATGAGCCCTGCTGATGGACCTGCGTCGCCTAGCTGCACGAGAGCAATGCCGCAGGCGGCGGCCGTGGCATACACTGCGAGCACACTTGGTGCAGCTGCGAGGTGCAGCAAGAGCACGTCGTTCCTGCCTCTGATGCCACTCTCGCGGCTTGTAGCGCGTCACTCGCGCATGGGCATGCTCTCCAGGAGCTATGGCGGGCGCGTGTGTGGGGCTGTAGCCTGTGTTTGGCCGGTTCTGACCCGTTTACTATCAGTACCATGCCTGGGCCACAAGAATCGCACACGGGGAGCGGCTCAGGGACCCAGTAAGCCGCGGAATATCGCCAAATGGTCACAACCCGGCTCACCCAGGGCTGGACCTAGTCGCGCTCGCGCTCGCGCGGCGCGCGCTATGGGACAGCCCAGGCGCTAGGCGGTTCCGGTGGGAGCAAAAGAATTTTACTACGGCGGCGTTACGGCGCTCGGAAACCCTAGCCCCCAGATGCGGCTGCCGCGCGAGCAGCGGAAGCGAGTGCTCTCGGCGGCGGCGCCGGCTCGGCGAGGAAGACCTGCGGCGCCCTGCGCTCTCGCGTAAAACGAGAGGCGCCGTCCGGCGGGCGCGCCGCGGCAGGACGGCCGCCAGCCGTGGCTCCCCCGCCTCGCTGTGGAGCCTCCCGTCCCACCAGCGGCAGCGCCTCCCCCTCCGGCGCCTCCATCCCCGCCGCTGCCTCTGCCGCCGCCCCCTCCTCCTCCTCCCCCCTCACCTCCTCCTCCTCGGCCTCCTCCTCTACCTCGATCTGCACGGCCTCGTCCGATGCCCCCGTCTCCGCAATCGTCGCCGCTGCGTCTGCGAATGTCGCAACTGACGCCGCCGCGTTCGCCTCCGCCGCCGTCTCTGTCTCCGCCTCCGCCTCCACCTCAGCCGTGTCCATCGCCACTGCTTGTCCGGGCGGCGGTGGGCTGCGGCTGCGGCTCGAGCCCGGGCTGCTCCCCGCGCTCTCCTCTGCGCTCTCATCCAGCCAGAACTGGCAGCCGTAGTCAACGAGCAGCTCCTCGCCTGTCCACAGCCGCGGGCAAGCATCAGTCGCGCAGCGAGCTGCTGCACGCTCGGCTAGACCTCACCCACGTCTCGGCTAACCAACCGCATACCGGCCGCATACCGACATCTCGGCCGCATACCGGCCTCATACTGGCCGCATCTCGGCCGCTTCTCGGCCGCATCGCCTGGCTGGATGAGCCGCTGCGTCACCACCGAGACGGCAACTTCGCCGGCCCCAGCCGCGTAGTGCAGCACGAAGGCCACGTTCGGCTGAGGCGCGATGCCCGTGTAGTCGTTGATGAAACGCGTCTCGTTGCCGTACTTGGCCGCGTCGATGTCGAACCGGCGCCCCGTCCGCCGCTCGCACACCTCCACCAGGTAGCGCGAGGTGTCGTACGCGCGCTGCGGTGTCAACAAGGGTGGGGCCGAGAGTCAACCCACTGCGTCTCACGAATGCGGAGACTGAAGGCTCCAAGGAGGTTCCACTAGAAGCTCCCGCTAAAAGCAAGGAGGTTCCACTAGAAGCTCCCGCTAAAAGCAATGAGGTTCCACTAGAAGCTCACGCTAAAAGCAAGGAGGTTCCACTAGAAGCTCCCGCGTGAAGCTCCCGCTAGGAGGCTCCTAGAAGGCTCCTAGAAGGCTCCACGATGGCTCCTAGAAGGTTCTCACCTGAGGCTTGACAAGGCCGGTGTAGTTGCCCAGCACGGCTCCGCACGGCAGGGTGACGGAGGCAAAGAGGCCGAACGCGCCCGCCGACACGCCCGCCGCTCCCACCGGCGCCGCGGCGGGGTGCTTTGGCGGCAGCGGCTGTATTGAGACTCCGCCCATGCACCGCCACTGCGCCATCTCCATCCGTGCCGACGCCAAACCGGCAGCGTCGGTGGCGGCGTCGGCGGCGTCGGCGCGCGCCCCACCCACCGCCGGCTCCACCCAGAGCAGGAAGGGCGCGTAGACCACCCCGGCCGGCCAGTTGGGAGGGAGCGTGCGCGGCCTCGCCCGCCGCGCCGACCCGCCCTCCCTCCCCCGCCGGCCGGCGGCGGCGGCTATGTCGAGCGGCACGCAAGACCAACCGGCGCCCGCGGCGTCGAGCGACCACGCCCAGTCGGGGTACAGACCGGCCGCCTCCGCGCCGCGGTCGAAGGCGGCGACCGTCGCGGGGTCGTGAATGTGGTGCACCGGCTCCCAGGACGCGCCTAGCTCCGGACGAGAGAGGCTTGAAACGTCGAGTCGTGGTGCGGGGAGTTGCCCCGCTTAGCCTGTCAGTATGTGTGTCTGTGTGCGGCTGCGGGGTGCGCATGTGCGGGTGGTGCGTCAGCGTGAGCGCTCCTCCCCCGGTCGGGTCGCGCCACTTGATGAGGTATTCCGAGGCGCCCGAACGGCTGAGGCGGCGGCCGAGGATGCACTCGAACTCACACATCGCCTCCGCCTCCTCGCCGCCGTCCCCGCTGCTACCACGGCCGCGCCGCCGCCGCCGCCGCCGCGCGCCGCTGCCCTGCACGCGCTGGCGTTTGCGGCTGCCGCCGCCGCCGCCGCCGCCGCTTCCTCCGCCGCCGCTTCCGCTTCTTCCTCCGCCGCCGCCACTCTCGCCGTCTCCGCCGCTGCGGCTGGTGGCGTCGCCGCCATCGCCGCCAATGCCAGCACCTCCGCCGCCGCCGGTAGCGACGGAAGCGGCGGATTGGGAGCAACGCAGCGCCTCCCACCCTCCCGGGGGCGCCTGGAGCAGCGCCTCGGCGGGCGGCGTCAGGCTGCGGCGGAGGAGCGACGCCGCCGTCGACGGGGCGGACTGACCACCCTCCTTCCCGCGCAAGGCCACTCTCTCCGCCTCTCCCTCAGCCTCCGCCTCCGCCGCTTCGCCGCCAGCGCCCGTCGGCGCCGCCACAGCCGCCACATCCGCCGCCGCCGCCGCCGCCGCGTGTGGCTGCGCGGGCGGAGGGGCTACAGGCGGCGCTGGCGACGGCGCGGGCGGCGCGCTTTCCGCGCCGTCGGCGGGCGCGTTGTCGGCGTTGTCGGCGTCGTCGTCGCCGCTGCACGAGGACGCCGCGCGCGATACGTACGTCGACACCTCGGCCAAGTAGGCAGCGGCTCGCTGCGCAATCTCGCGCACCTTGTCGGACGCCTCGGGCGTGTCCTCCAAGGCCAGCAGCCGCGGCAGCGCGCCGACGGAGAGGAGCATCCGCGCGGTCTCGTGCCCGCGGTAGGCGAAGTTGAGCATCGCGCGCGCGGCGCCGCCGCCGAGCGAGGCGTTGTGCAGCCCTGTGCGGCTGTGGGTGCAGAGCCACCGCGCCGAGGGCAGGGAGACGGTGGCGCGCCTAGAGGGCGGGCCGTGGCCGAGAGGTGTGGCCGAGTCATAGCTGAGGAGCCGCGGGGATCCGGTGGCGCGCTTTGCGAGGAGCAGTGGCACGAGGGCCGACAGCAGCCCGCTCGTCGACACCTCCTTGGCGCCCTGCCGGTCGAGGGTGAGGTTGGCCACCACCGCAGAGATGACGTAGCACAGCCCCAACGCCGCGCGCTCGCGCTCCGCGTCCGTCTCGCCGCTCTGCGAGGCAGACGCCGCACCCGCGCCGCTAGCCCCGCCGCCACCGCCGCCGCCGCCGCCACCGCCGCCGCCGCCACCGCCGCCGCCGCCGCCACTGCCGCCGCCGCCGCCGCCGCCACTACCCGCCTGCGCCTGCGCCTGCGCTGGTACTGCCGCCGCCTCCACCGAGGACCCCCCTGCCGCCCCGCTCGCCGCCGCCGCCGCCTCGCTCTCCGCTGCCGCCTCACTCGCCGCCGCCACCGCCGCCTCCTCCCTGCCAGAGGCAGCGGCCGCCGGCGACGTCGCGCACGGCGCCTCCCCGCCTGAGCAGGCCTCCGCCGCCGTGGGCGCCTCGCGCGCACCGAGGTGCGGAGCGCCAGGCTGCGAGGCGCCGAGCTGCGACGCGCAGCTGCGGAGCGTCTCCGCCAGCAGCTCGCCGGCTCGCGCCTTGACAAAGAGCCGGGCGTGGCCCGGGGCGGCGCCAGCGAGGTGGCTGAGCGAGACGAGGGCCCACTGGCGCTCGATCAGAGATGGCGCGCGCGGCGCGCCCTGCCGCAGCAGATCGCACAGCTCGCCGACCGCGCCCGCGCTGGCCAGCGCCGCTGCGCAGTCGCCGTCGCCCGAGAGGACACCCACCAGGAAGAGGGCGCGGTTGCGGCAGGCGATGGAGTCGCCGCGCAGCGAGGAGAGGAGGCGCGACCGCAGCGTCGCAGCCAGCTCCGACGTCCGCGAGCGGCCGCCGCCCAGCCGGCGGATGCAGTGCAGCAGCAGCAGCCGGGACGACTCGATTGAGTCGGACTGCTCGGGAAGCGCGCCGGCGTCGCCGGCGTCGACCGAGATGCCGAGGCGCGCCAGTGCGTCGCGCGGCGGCTGCTCGCGCCCCTGGGCCAGCAGGTCGACGCGGCTGCCGCGGATCATGAAGCCGGTTTTCTTCGCGCCGTAGTAGACGGTTGTTGCCTTTCGCGCCGGGGTGAGAATGTAAGCCTCGCACTTCGTTGTGAAGACTGGGCCGCGCCACCCAAGAACTTTTGTGCGCAAAGGTGGGACGTGGCTTGCCGCGGTTGTTGAAGTATAATTGGCTTGCCGCGGTTTTGTCGTAGCCGGGCGGGTCGATGGTAATTTGGAAATTCCTTGAGCACTTGAGCACTGGATAGGGTCGGTTCCGCATGGTACGGGACCCCTCGATCGTCTCGCCCTCCCTCACTGGTGTGTTCATTGGGGGGGGTCATAACAAACACGGTACAGGATCGAGGTGCACGCTGCTGAAGCAGTGTCGTCCCCCCTCTCCCCGACGGCGATGGCGGTGTGACCGATCGAGCTACAAGAGGAGCTTGTTCAGCAGGATCCGGGATAGTCAGATGCACTACCTCACTGGGCCTGAGACCATCGTACGACAGCATCCCGTCACCGTCTCGGATTTATGTGGGGTCGAACCACTCCGGGATGGGCAAGCCCATCAATTTTCGTTTCGTATTTCCCTGCACTGGTTAATTGTCAGAATTCCTGTTGTGCAAGAGGGGAGGGGGCTCTGACGGAGTGTGTGGTGGGAGAGGGCAGGGAATGAGCGCAGGGGAGGGGGGGGGGGGGGCTCAGCCGTGCAAAAAGCAGCAATTAATAGTAGTAAAGCAATATTGCTCGGCCGTCCATGAAGTCCGTCTCGATCTGGAGGAGACGGGTCAACCCCGTGAGGACCAGAATCCAGATCAGGTTCGCGTTGTCGTAGCCGGAGGGGATGTTGACCTTTAGCTCTTGGGGCCACCTTTCCGCTTTAGTTTTTTCCCCACTGACCACTCGGGCAACTTTTACCAAATGCAAAAGTTGCACCTTACCATTCGGGCAAATTCGATTGCATTTTACCACTCGATGAAACGGGCGGACGGAAAACGCGTTTGCGGCAGCTCGCCCGAGAGCTATGCATGAAGCGGCCGGCGCGCCACCGCAGCTCACCGATGGAGCCTGCGGAGCGGCTCAATCCACTGGCGCAGCAGCATCGCGACCCATTCTCCAAGCACGGCCTCTGGCGTTGCGATTGCACAGAGAGCGAGCAATAGTCGCCAAAAACACTGATCTGTGTGCAGTGGATCTCCATGGCGGTCGCGCCCAGCGAAAGGACAACCGCGGGCCTCGGATGCTCGCCCGGATGCGGACCCGCCGTGCGAGTTGCAGCCCCGGAGGTGGCCAACCCAGCTCACCCCAAGAGAGGCCATGCCCAGGGTCAGGCATAAAAGGGGGGTGTTTTTCCGTCCGTCCGTGCTTAGAGGAGCTGGCGAGAAGTTGACCGATATGCCCGGATAACATGATTCCTTGACCAGCTCGAGCGGATTGGTGACCGCCGCGCCGATTCCGGCCGAGAGAAAGGAGGCAAAGAGGCCGCGCGCGAAGAGGAAGGAGGGCTCCTTCGTGCCAGCCGCCGCCTGGTGGGGCGGAGGGATCTCGTGGCCGAGCTCGCCAATGCTCCCTTTATGAGCGAGCTGTTTCTTTTTGCCGTACACGTCGTCGTCCGGTAGGCAGCTCAGCGCGTGAGGCAGACCGTCGAGACCCATCGACAGTGTGCAATGTCCGCCGAACGCGTCGGCCGTCATATTCCAGTTATATCCGGCGACAACGCCAAGCATTGGCGCGACCTCAACCTTTTCCGCCGAATCCAGAGACGACCACCCCGCCTCCATCAACGCGGGGCATCCGGCCGCTGCACAAACGCCAAACACGCAGAGGCCGGGGCAGAGGACATGCTGGATGTCGTCAAATAGGAAGCGTGCAATCTTGTACTCCTCAGAGTTCTTGTCAATGCCACCACCCCACTTCTCGAGCACTGCAGGGGCAGTGATCTTGTTGCCGCCGCGGCCTCGAGGAAGGAGGGTGGCGGCGAGCCAGCATGAGCCAACGAGGAGGACGATGCCGATGGCTTTAGCTCGGGACCGATTCGGCCCGCCGACTTGCGGAGCCGGCACGATGAGCGACATATTGGGCGACGAAGCCCCCGACGCGCGGCGAGCGACTACCTGGAAGTCGGCGCTCAAATCGTTTGATGTTACTTGTTAGGTTAAAAACTCGGTGTGGCGTCATGAGCTGTGCCCAGATTCGCTGCCGTCCCTCTTTTGATCGAAGAAACTCGAACGGGGCGCGGCTGGCCGCATCTTTGATTTGCGTGTGAGTGTTGAGGTGATGCGAGCGCGCGTGCGCGCGGCGCGCGTGCCGTTTTGGGTCTCTTTTATACCAGTGATGAAATGTAAACCGACTTTACCACGCGCGCGCACGCGCGCGCCGCGCTCCTCGACTCTCTCGCACCCGCCCCGAGCCACGCCCCTCACGAGACAGGCGGCTGCGACCCTGAGAGTGCGCAGCGGTGCCGCTGGCGTGCTCACCACACCCATCCATCATGCCTGCATCATTCCTGCACGTACTGCCCGGTCTGGTCGGGGCGTGGGGCGAGATCTGGCATGGCGGCGCGCTTGAAGTGAGCGCCTTCGATCGTCTCGCGGCGACTGCTCGCAGGCCGGGCCGCCAGAAACTGTGCCGCTCAGCCATCCGCCGAAGCGAGCGCGCCGGCGGCGGTCCGCCGCCGGCGCGCTCGGCTCAGTGTCTTCAAACCCGCCGCCGGTGGGGAGCTCCGCTTGCGGCCAGCCTCTGTGCGGCCAGCCTCGCTGTCCGTGAATCAAGCACTCTTCACGGCGGTTTGATTGTGGAATGTAGGTGTATTGTTGGCAAATCAAGACACAGAGCTCACACAGAATCACAGCGGGAGGAAAGCGGCGAGTCGCAATTCCAGGGGTCGTTGTGGCGGGCCACCCTGTCCAGAGAGGCATGGATGCCAATCTGGGGTCTCTCGACCGAGTCTATGAGCCCTGGCCGCCTCCCGATCTTGGTGGTAAGGCCGCAGCCGAAGAGGGCGACGGAGATGGCGCGGGAGAGTACGGGTGTTCCAGGGGATCACGACACGCACCGACCCTTCACGAGCCGAAAGGCTGCACCCGGGGAAGGCACAGTAATCCGGGCACGTGTTGGGCGCCCCATTCCGTTTAGGGCTAGGTCGGCTCAGGGCCCCGTCCACCTCCCTCCCACTTGGCGCGTGATAATGGGGAGATGCCACCCAGGCCAGCCAGGGCAGGGGCGGAGAGCGAGGGCGGAGGGCGGGATGGGCGCCAAGCGGGAGGGAGCGGACGGAGTGGAACGCACAGATGGGGGATAGCGAAGGCGGAGGGGCAGGAAGGGGGGAGGGCGGGCGGAGGGCGGGATGGGCGCCAAGCGGGAGGGAGCGAACGGAGTGGAATGCACAGATGGGGGATGGCGAAGGCGGAGGGGCAGAAAGGGGGGAGGGCGGCGGGAGGGCGGAAGTCGGCATGGGCGGGCGGCGGGTGGTTCGGTAGGGCGGGGGGGACGGCGTGGGGGCAAAAGCAAACAAGTACGGGGTCGCTGCGAGCATTGCTGACCTACGCTGCGAAAGAAGGGTCAGCTACCAGCACGCCACGCTCTGGACTGCGTCGGGCCGCGAGGTAGTAGCGACACCAGAGCGCCCGTCTTCGCGCGCGAATATAGTTAGCGCGGCCGTGCGCCTTGCTCGCGTGCGGGGAATTGAGCGGGGCGGCGGGGCCGGGGATGAGCGGGGCGGCGGGGGCGGGCGGGAGGCGGCACCTTTGCTCGCGAAAACGAACGAGGACGTCGGGTTCGTTGATGAGTTGTCGTCCCCCCCCCTTACGGAAAGCAGAAATGAAGACGTTTTGGATTTTCTCTCTCTCTCAGTAAACGTATACAGGCCCTGAAAGGCCCTACGCGCGGCGTGAGAGCTCGGAAGCGATGGGAGCGTGTGCCGCAGGGCGCAGTGGGAATGTAAAACCAGGATGGCTGTGCTGGCTCCTACACAGAGAGTACACAGCCATCTTACCTAAGGATGGCTGAGCTGGAGAGAAAACGGACGGACGGAAAAACACCCCCCTTCTATGCCTGACCCTGGGCATGCCTCTCTGGGTGTGAGCTGGGTCGGCCACCTCCGGGTCTGCAACTCGCACGGTGGGTCCGCTTCCGGGCGAGCATCCGAGGCCCGCGGTTGTCCCTTCGCTGGGCGCGACCGCCATGGAGATCCGCTGCACACAGATCAGTGTTTTTGGCGACTATTGCTCGCTCTCTGTGCAATCGCAACGCCAGAGGCCGTGCTTGGAGAATGGGTCACAATGCTGCTGCGCCAGTGGATTGAGCCGCTCCGCACACTCCATCGGTGAGCTGCGGTGGCGCGCCGGCCGCTTCATGCATAGCTCTCGGGCGAGCTGCCGCAAACGCGTTTTCCGTCCGCCCGTTTCATCGAGTTTGCCCGAGTGGTAAGGTGCAACTTTTGCATTTGGTAAAAGTTGCCCGAGTGGTCAGTGGGGAAAAAACCAATGCGGAAATGTGGCCCCAAGAGCTAAAGGTCAACATCCCCTCCGGCTACGACGATGTGAACCTGATCTGGTCCTCACGGGGTTGACCCGTCTCCTCCAGATCGAGAGGGACTTCATGAACGGCCGAGCCCTATTTTTTCATTACTATTATTAATGAATGCTTTTCGCACGGGTGAGCCCCCCCCCCCCCCCCTCCCCTGCGCCCATTCCCTGCCCTCTCCCGCCACACACTCCGTCAGAGCCCCCTCCCCTCTTGCACAACAGGAATTCTGACAATTAACCCGTGCAGGGAAATACGAAACGAAAATTGATGGGCTTGCCCATCCCGGAGTGGTTCGATCCCACATGAATCCGAGACGGTGATGGGAGGCGTCTCGGCGGTCTCAGGCCCAGTGTGCAGTGAGGTAGTGCGCCAGACTACCCCGGATCCTGCTGAACAAGCTCCTCTTGTAGCTCGATCGGTCACACCGCCATCGCCGTCGGG